TCAAAAATTTTTTTGGATGCAGTGTCATATGGCCTTAAAACCGTGGATTTGCATTGCCATAACAGCAGAAGCTATAAAATAGAAGCAGACTTCAGGACTCGACCTGAGGTCCTTTTGCCTGCTTTCCTTTTTTCGGCCCTTTTTTAACCCCTTTCTGCTCTACAAATACAATTACAATTGTTCGCGCTTGCAAAAAGGGGTTAAGGCGGGTAAGTTCTGCTGACCGTTTTACCTAAACTACCGAGAATCGCGTTTTACGGTCGTTTTTTGTGCCACTTCTGCGATTTTCGGTTGTTTTTTAAGATAGGGCAACTCTTTACCCAGAACTTGACCCGACCTATTTAGGTTTGTAGGTTTCTAGTGCAGTTCCCCTCGCGTTCTTGGTTTTTGTATTTTTTGTACTTTATGATTCAGATTTTTAACATTTCGCGGAAGCGAATCCTTTCTCTAAGTTATTTTTAATGTTTTGGGATGGGATTTTTTTCTGGATGATTTTCAGCCGCTGCGTTTTGACTTTGCATTTGTTGGGTTTGACTTTATGGCCAGGCTTTCGGTTTTCGAGCCATAGTCAAGGTCTAAGGAGAGACACAAGGTCAGCTGAAGCACCCCACCCATCTGTCATAGAGAAGAAAACCCGGGAATTTTGGTTTTTAATGCTAAATAATTTGAAATCATTAACTAGATTATAATATAAGAAAAGCGTTGCAATTTTAATATCTTATTTGTATCATCTGTTTTGAACAACCTCATCAGCTCGTTATAACATTTTCTCGGCTATTCAAATTAAATTATTTTCAACCTATTAGAGTTGCTAAAAAATAGTATCACCAGTCATTGTTTTGTTTTTTGGTAGGCCCCTGCTCAGGGCCTCTTCCGATTTTCCTGTTGTGCAATTTACTTTCATCAGCCGTCTGTCTCGAAAAAAAATCAAAACAGTGTAAGGGAAATTTGCTCAACTTAGCTGCGCATCATTTAACTTTGAGCAAAAACGAGCAGAGTGGATTACACACATGAAAGGGCAGCCAAAAAGATACTCCGTATCTGTATCTTTTTGGGTAGCGGGACGGAAAACTGGGGAGGGTTAATCTGAGGAGTAATCGAAACCCGTCAAAATGGCAAACACAACAATGCGTCTTAGAAACGAGCTGAAAAGGAGGAAAGGTCCCTAAGCACATTACACGATCGCCCGAGATATACACATGTGTATCCGTATCGTATCTGGATGCGAAAGATCAGCTGCCTCCTCTTCCCTGTCGAGATTATTATTAGCGCAACATTAACGTCAAATTACGCATCTATTTTGCGCACTTTATCTCGATCTCCCTATATGCCACATATCCCATAAAAAGCGGTGAAACATCAAAAAAAGGGGGGATTAGCCCCCGGGATTACGATTACTGGACCATGTGTGTGTGCTCCTCCCAGATTTTTCTTTTTTCTGTGTGTTCCCGAGATGGTCAGTGCAGTATCTTAAGTCGAATGTGGGCAGGTGAAGGGATGTGTATCTTGCAGATAGATTGAGATACAAATAAGGTAGCCCACCGATGTGTGGAATTGCTTTGGCTAATGAGGCGTTCAGGCGGAGATCTGGGAAATCTCGAAGCAGATATAATATATACCCATGCAAAGTAGAAAAAAAATGCAAAAATACAGAGGTTGAAAATAGGGGAATGGGTATGCAAATATTTTAAAGTTCATAGAAATAATAAATAAATAAAATTTTGCTAAGTGATTGTAATTATCTGTATATATCTATCTATATTTATATAATCCACAAACATTAAAATCCTCAAATTTTATAGCTCTTAGTCCAAAGTTACATGGTTTTTCAACCTTTTTTCCAACATTCTCTATGTTGTAAATCGAACACTTCCCCGAAGACCAAATATCGAAATTAATCCCCCCAGAGAATGCCTCCACCTGACGCAACCCACAAGTGGAAAATTTGGGGGCGGGGGAAAACTACTTTTCCGAAGGCGTGGATGCGTGACAATAATTAAAAGATCTCCAACGCAAACAGCGCAAATGGAATGAAAACAAGGTCGCAGGCCGAAAACTAATAGCAAAAGCAAATTTTGCCACCCTCCCAGCCGCCCAACCTGCCACGCCCACCGCTTAACCCACTGCAGCCAGCGCCTTGAAATGCGCACGCAAATGTTTGTCTGTTTGTCTGTTTGCCTGTCTATCTGTTTGTTTGTTTGTTTGTTGATTGAGACGGCTTTGATTTGCGCTGAGCTGATTTTGATGGGTGGCCGAGCGGGGGTCATGGGTTAAGAGGGGGTGGCTGGGTTAAGACAAGTGCGCTGGTGTTTGCAGAGCCGTTGTGTGCATAAGCAACGGCGATTATTGACACACCGCCAGTGATGCCACAGCTACAGTGAACACACGCGATGGCGGAAGTGCAATTTTTATAAAAGTATTACTGGAAAATTCAGACATCAACAGGGAGCCCATACCAATAAGACTACGGTATCCATATTTCTTACAACAATTTATATGGCAATGTAGGTGTATGCTAAGAACTGAAATTCAATTTCTATTTATCAGTAATATTTTTTTCAATAATTTAAATTTTTTCTGTAAGTCAAAACAGCATTTTATATTTAAATGCTTTTAGTTTTATCATGTAAAAGACAGATCTCATATTTCCTTAATTAAAAAACGCAGTAACTAATATACATTTTAAAGTTACCTTTTAAAGTATCCAATTGGGGGTTCAACTGTACGCCCCACCCCAGGAAAATGCAAATCAAAGTGCAGCGCGTGATTTTTGGAAAAGGTAGAAGGTCCGGAAGGTCTCGAAATCGAAAACAAATCGTACGCCCACTGCCACTCCCCCTCGTCAGTTGGCGAAAACCCTTTCCGTGCGGTCGTGCGTGAAATTTAATCAAAGCAAGACTTAACTCCACGGCGCCCCTTAACCCCCATGTGAGCCATCAATGTGGCCAACAGTTTTCGGTGTCCCAAAAGTAGACGACATACAAACAACCGGAAATGTTGCACATTTGTAACTCTAGCACACTTTTCCAGAAGGAGAAAGGCGAGTGGGGGAAAATGCGGAAAAGGGGATTGCGGAGTGAACGTGAAAGTTTTCCATCCGCAGCAAGTGCAAATTTCTGTCAATTGTTGCAAATGGAGTTTCCTTTTTCCTCTGAGCGGCAATTTGTTCGACAAAGTGTTCTTTTTTTGGGAAAATCCCAAGAAAAATTACATTTTAACATGAAAAATTTAAACAAGTTTTCGAGAAAACCGTATTGTACATAACATTTTTGTCCTTAAATTTCTTTTTCAAATAGCATTAACATTTTAAAACTTAAAACCTTAAAACCTCATGGTTCAGTAATACGAAAAATATTACTTTTATGAGAATGTCGATCGTTTTTAGAAAAAGTCCACGAATTTTTCTTAGCTTTTTAAAAGTTTGGCGCCAACTTTCTCCCAGTGCTGCTCCCCAGTTATCGATATCCCATTTCGCGAATAGAAGAGGCGAAAACAAAACAGCTGAACCGCAACAAAGAAGAAGACGCGACGAAAAGCAGAGCAAAAGCAACAAAAAAGCACGTTATTTATAAATCGAAGCAAGCGACAAAGAATAAAATGCAAAAAAAGCCCCAAACAACTACAACAACCATTGTCATTGTCCGCTCTCTTTCCGTGGGTTTTCATCAGTTTCGCTTTTAATCGTCACTTTTATTTGCGGTCTACTTTGTGTTTTGGCATCTTTCTGAACAGTGGGGCAAGTCGAATATATGCATAAGCATATTACGCTAAAGCTTGGTAACGAGTTCGACACCCAGGCATCTATTGCTGTTTTGGAACTAAGGGTGAGTTATGGGGTGCATTTACAGTACATTATTAATTACGAAATTTCTATTGTGTACTGTAGAAATTTTATGAATCTACGAAATTTGAATTTTCACTTACTCTTATGTGGCCCACTGTTTGGGGGCCTGTGCCCCACTGTGCGAGCCAGAACATGTGCCAACATGACTGTTCAAATAATTAAGCTCTCTTTGACGCACTCTCGCTCTATCTCGCCGAAAGATCTCTCTCTCGCGCGCTCTCTTCTGTGGGCTCCCCGCAAACTTGCGGTTAATAAAGCAGGGGAAACAACAAAAACACAACAGAGATGGGGGCGTCGTCGGCGCTCTGCCGGCGTCGCTGCCTTCGTGGGGCTTTGGCCGCCGACGCGGCGTCAGTTAAAAAGCGTCGCTTGGTGGAGCTAGCTAGCGATTTTATTTATATTTTTTTTATATTTATTGTTTGTAACTTGTAACTTGCAATCGCCGTTTTTGCGCCCTTTCTTTCGCGAACTTACTCTCTTTTCGCTTTCGCTCTCTTCTCCGTTCTTTCTCTCTTTCTCCGCGCTCTCTTCTTCTTCCTGTTCTTCCATTTGTTGTTGACGTCGCGTTGTTGTGCATTTAATTCTTAATTTTTGTCTGTTTTTAGTGTACTTTACATATTTTTTGTAGTTGTCGTTTCAAATGTGATATAATTTGTTAAGTATTTATTAATAAAACGCGCGGCGAGTAAAAAACCCTATAAAAAAACGAGGATTGCGACTGAACACAACAATAAAGGCAAAAAAGTGAGCAACGAAAAGGAGCTGCGAAAGAGAATCAACAAACAACGGAAAAAGCTGAGGCAGCAAAAAAGAAAGGAAAACAAAACACAAAAGCAATAACAACCACCAAAAAATCGGCCAATGCTTATTTTCTAAAAAAGCGATTAGATAAAAAATAATTTTAACAATTATGCAAGGCACTACAAAGAACAAATTCATAAGCTAAAAAAAGGTATAAAAAATGCAAAGCGGACGATCTTCAATAAAGCATCAGAAGAATTGAAGAGAAAATTGTACAATAAATAAAAACCAAGGATCAGCAGATGAATTTAAAAAAGATCTCCAAGCTATTACAAAAATAACAAAATAATTATTTAAACACATTGCAAAAATTCAGAATATTTAAAAAGAACTTTAAAAATTAAAAAAAAAACACCTAAAAAATGTGCAAATAAATAAAATTTTAAAAAATACTAATAAAATATAAATACTACCTCCAAAGGCATTGCATTTTAAAATAAAACAAAGAGTTAAAACAAAAGATCGGAAGGAATAATACCTGGGATCCCCTTTAAGAAACGGCCTTAAGATCGGGGAAATAAAGGCAATACCCGCATATCCCTACGCGATATACCAGCCGCCGGAGTTGAACCCGGACCGCGAATTCGAGATGGTGTACTCCACGAACATCCTGCTGGCGATCGTGACGATCCTGACGGGCGTCTTCATATGGTCCCGCCGCACCTACGTCTACTGGCAGCGCCGCCGGGTGAAGTTCGTCCAGCCCACCCACCTTTTGGGCAACCTGACCCGCGTCCTCCGACTGGAGGAGTCCTTCGCCCTCCAGCTGCGCCGCTTCTACTTCGACGAGCGGTTCCGCAACGAGCCCGTAGTGGGCATCTACCTGTTCCACCAGCCCGCCCTCCTCATCCGCGACCTGCAGCTGGTGCGGACCGTTCTCGTCGAGGATTTCGTCAGCTTCTCGAACCGATTCGCCAAGTGCGATGGGCGCAGCGATAAGATGGGCGCCCTGTCGCTATTTTTGGCCAAACAGCCCGAGTGGCGCGAGATCCGCACCCGTTTAGCGCCCGCCTTCGCCGGCGCCAAGCTGAAACAGATGTTCTCGCTGATGGAGGAGGTGAGTCACCCACCCAATCAGCCGGGTCCCAAGTTCCCAGCGCCACGTCACATGTTCCGAGCCCCTACACCAGCCTACAAGGCCTACACTTTCGGGGGAACTTCGTAAAAACTTTTATTTGCCCTGGAATGGGCTTGGTACTAGACTATAGAGACTATGATATCTTTATCTTGGGTGTGGAAGTTTTTAGAGCCACAGATAACAATTTTTATAAGATAATTGTCAAATGTTCCGAGCACGTATACTGATCTACAGAACATATATCTTTGAGGTCCAGTCTAATCTACACTTGCTTAAGAATATTTTCTTATTCTCAATTAGTTCCAATTTCACCCTTCGATTCTTTAACTTAAAAAATATATTTACCCTGAGCAACAGAATATACCATCTTGATAGACATTAGGCTTTTCCAAGAATTTATAGAGGTTGCACTCGAAGAAGGCATGTGGAAAACGGCTGATAAGTGAAAGTCTCCCCAAACTACCTGTGTTTCTTTGTGGGGCTTATCAAACCAAACTTGCTTATTGTTACCGATTTATTACTTTGACAGGCTATCTTATCAAAGGTCAACAACTATCGCATTTCTAGAAAGAGGACCGTAAAAATGATAGCTCAAAACTATTGTTTTTTATGTTTTACTTTGTTGCCCAGTCAAATCAAAAGTTGTATGCAAATGAAAGCCAAGAAATCAAAATAATCAAAGCGCTTGGCAAAACAAACCAAAAAAGACTATTCATTCTGATAATGCAAATTCTGATGGAACAGTGCTAAGGCTTCTGGCAAGCAGACAAGATATTTAAGGAACTTCTTTAGATTAGGAATCTTAAAGACATAATTTACGTTTTTGATGGGGAAATAGAGATATAGACTACAGAGGTTGGACACTTACCACTAAGTAACGATTACGACAAGATATTTAAAGAGTTTCTTCGAGGTACTCTTACCACTAAACAACCATAGATGCTTTATTTTCTGTTTTTTGCTCTCCTCTCTTTTTGGGCTATACCCCGGCTATATAACCATAGATCGGCTGCGACTTGGACTGGTATCTGAAGCGTCTGACCCGAGATTTGCGTCGAGGCAACGCCGAACGCGGGGCCATCGTGAGCATCAAGGATGTGTGTGATCTCTACAACACCGACATGATAGCCAGCATCGCCTTCGGCCTGAGATCCTACAGCCTGAGGAACACGCAATCGGAGATCGGTTCACATTGTCAGGACCTGTTCCGGCCGAATGTCCGTCGAATAATCGACTTGTTTGTGATCTTTTACCTGCCCAAACTGGTGCCGCTGCTGCGGCCCAAACTTTTCACGGAGCCGCATGCGGAGTTCCTGCGCCGGGTCATCCAGCTGGTGATCGAGGAGCGGGAACGGGGCGGCGATCTGCGCAACGATCTCATCGAGATGCTGCTGACGCTCAAGAAGGAGGCGGACCTGCAGCAGGACAAGTCGCACTTCACGCACCATCGCGACTTCTTGGCCGCCCAGGCGGCCTCCTTTGAGGTCGCCGGCATCGAGACCTGTTCGGCGAGCATGTCCTTTGCCCTCTACGAGCTGGCCAAGCAGCCGCTGATGCAGTCCCGCCTGCGTCGCGAAATCCGCGAGGCCTTCGCGGACGATCCCAACGGGAAGCTCACCTTCGAGGCCATCTCCCGGATGCAGTTCCTCGACATGGTCGTGGAGGAGACGCTGCGCAAGTATCCGATCGTACCGCTCCTGGAGCGCGAGTGCACGCCGATCAACAAGAAGCGCTTCTACTCGCTGAGGCCGCACGCCGAGTGCTACGCCCGTCGCGGGATGCCCGTGTTCATATCCAATCTGGCCATACATCACGATCCCAAGGTGGGTATGGGGAAGGTTACCCCTATTTTTGGGATACTCGGAGTTTTTATTTTTATTTTTTAAACTCAAAAAAAAGGGTCTGATTTGAAACACATGCTCCTTTATAAAGTTAGTGATAGTACCCTACAACTCGGTGGATAACTAGCTTTTTTTACGATTTTATCAGGAACCAAAAATAATCGTTACTTTTGATTGTATTGCAATGTCACACTTTTTACGCCTGCTCATAATTCAAAAATAATATTAAGCCTTTTAAAATGAAAGGTACATATGTATAAAGATTTCTAACCTGGATTTTTGTATACCAATATATTAAGGTCTCAAAATTGTTATCTTTTTGCAGTACTGGCCGGATCCGGAGCGCTTCGACCCGGAACGCTTCAGTGCCGCGAACAAAATGCTGCAGGCGCCCATGTCCTACCTGCCCTTTGGGGCCGGGCCGCACAACTGCATCGGGATGCAGATCGGCCTGCTGCAGATAAAGCTGGGCCTCGTCTACTTTCTGCACCGCCACCGCGTCGAGATCTGCGACCGTACCGTGGAGCGGATCCAGTTCGACGCCAAGTTCGCGCTGCTGGCCAGCGAACAACGCATTTACCTCAAGGTCGACCGCTTATAGCCGCCGACCCATGCGCCCATCCGCCCATTCGATATCAGCAGCATTATTTTATGGGTTTTCTGGGGCGGGAGCAGGGCCCCCATCGTCATCTCTTTGTAAATACTTCGGCCTGCCTCAAATAAACTTTGCTACGATCATTTTTTTTTCTAAATACCAACTCAGTTGTCTGTTAATCTTAGTGGAAAATTGGATATGGATAGGTTTTATGCTTTGTAGTATTTGAGTGTATTTCTATCAGCGTTTTTGCTTGGTGTTATTATTCTGCTGGCATATTATTTACTTCAGCAATCAATGGCCCAATTTAAGCATAAACAGTATTCAACTAAATGTACCATTAAACATTTAACTGCTACATGTGCATCGTAACCCCCATTTCAGGGGTCAAATTCGCTTCCATCACTTGTCATTGGTCTGAAATCACTATAAAGTGGGGTTTGTCGTTCTGAGTGGGAGCAGTGCCCCCAATCTTCTTATAAATACTTCTTGGGCTTTATTTTCTCCACATGCCACCTCAGCGAACTTTCGTTTAATGTTTATTGGCAGGGGGTCGACGGGGAGGGTCCGTCCATTGCGTTCCGTTTCATTTTGCTGATAAGTTATCAGTCGGCCGGGTCCCGAGGCCTTTGCCCGGTGGCCTGATCATTTCGATTCGGATTCGGTTTCGCATTTCGGTCTCGGATCCGATGGGCCGGCTACGTCATCGCTATCGCCCACCGGAGAGCTTTATAAACAAAGTTCAGGTTTCTGGGCGTCTAGAGTTCTACGGGATTAGGGTGGACCGTCAAAAATCTCGCCGTAAGAGATAAGATACAATACATCAATAGTTTCTTTAATTATGGGATGGTAGTGTAATATTTTTTTACAATTAGGATAAAATTTGTAAAGTATTAAGCAAAATCGATTGAAATTTTTTTAAAAAATGGTGTACTTGTAAATATTTTCAATGAAGGTACCTGAACCAAGTGAAAAATGTTCTTTAGCACCTGTTGAACTATGGCGTAAAGGAACAGGAAATAAAAATAGGTAATAGATCATAACATCTACTAGCAATTTAGAGGTAAAACGGGGTCCAACCAGTTCCCGTTCCCCCGCAAAGCTTAAAGTTCAAGTTCAAACCTCATACGATTTTTCGATATTCTCGCGAAAACCGGTTGCAAGTAGCTAATTTGTGGCCAATTAAAATTAACATAAGTCTGACGGAATTGGGTAACCAGCGCCTGGACCCGAGGAAAATGAAACACTTGACAGCTGTGATTCGATTGCTGGGAATTCCTCAAGTCTCAACGTTCTTTGTACACTTAAAATATGGATGATCTTAGCTAAGTGATAAATCAAATAAAAATAAATCTGTTTTCTGAACTATTAAAAAATAATTATAAGGAAACTATTAAAAAATGAATGTCTTTCTGGAGGTATTTCACTGATTAAGTTTAATTTTTTCCGTGTACTTGATTCTACTTTAATGTTGTTTCTTTCCATACAGCACACCGACATCGGCGTTGGCGGCGTTATGCAAATGCTCACACCCAAAGGAGGGAAAACAAGCGGAAAACCGAAGGGTTTTCGTGATTTCCTTGGAAAAGTGCGTGCGCAACTCTTTGAGGGTAAAACCCGCTCGTTTTTCCACTGCGCTGGTCAGTTTTTATTAGACCGCGAAAAATCAACAGTGGCCGGCTCGTCGGGGTGGTCCGTTTTCCGCTTTTCCGATCTGATCCTTTGCCATATAGCCGCCTTCCATTTTTGTGATTGGTCCTTGCGCGCACGCCGCTAAAAGGGTTTTATTACAGCCTCCCGTAAAATGTAATGTCATAAAGTTCCGAGAGCAAATATTGTAGGGGACTACACGGCGCAAAAAAATGTGTGTTTATGGAGATACACACTAAGTTCCGATACTCAAAGAATGTAAATACGAACTAAAAGTCTACAATTACTTACGTCAGAACTTATATTTTATTATGTAAATATTAAAAAATAATATAGGTTAGCATTAATAAAAAATAATGGTACACTCATAGATAAGAAGAAATGGGAACAAGAATATTTGTATAATATCAAAGATTGGAGAAAACAAATAGATTATCGTATCGTATCCTTTGTTTCTGTGTGCCTTGACTGTTACCAAAGCATTTCTGTTATTTTGTAAATTCGATTTCTAGACTTTTTTGACCAGTGTACGATCTGGATGCAACATTTGTTTTTCGCTGCTAGTGAATGAAAGGGGAAAGAGTTGCACTCAGCCTCCTTCTGCAGTTGCAGTTGCTGTTGCCTTCTGGGAATCATTTGCGCCCTCAACCTTCCGCTGACCCATCGACCTGGGCTAATTTACATAAACCTACGCAAACATCACAGAAATAACAAACATTGCATTCCCGAAAGGATGAACCAATAGCCCAGATGTTGTTTTGCACAGAAAGAAACCACGCTTGGGGTAAGTTAAAAGAAAACGTTACTTAAGGCTTATTAAATATATATAAATTAGTAAAAATAGGTAGAATGCATAGAAAAGCTAGGGCCTGTAAATTCCAAGAGATAATATCAATAAAAGATTATACAATATGAAACCCAACCTTGAAAGATAAAATATCTCTACAAAAATCCTTAATACCTATCTTATCGTTCAAGTTAATTATAAAGAAGGAGAATTGGAAGTGTTAATAATTTCCTTTCTTTTTCTTGATATAAAAATGAACAAAAGACTCTAAATTCAGTTTATGAAAATTGTAATAGTCTTCCAAATACCCATAACTCGACCAGTTGAATTTTTTCGAATGTAGTCCGCAGTTTTTGGACCCAATTAGAGCCCCGACTCCCACGCACGTGTTCTCTTTTGGGCCCTGCACTTGTCGGCTCCCATTCCCCTAACTTTTTCGGGGTTTCCACCGACGGATCCCTCTGACAGTTGCTGTTGTTACGGTTCACCATGACCAACGCCAACAATTACCGCCGCAATTCTATTGTCTCTCGATTTCCTGGGCCCCTGCACATGTAGATATATGTATATATACATTTTTTATAGCTCATTTCCCACATGTCGCGGAGTTTTGCCCTCTTCGGGAATGACACTTCGGAACCATTTTAATGAGCCCAAATTACTCGCTTTAAACAGAAAAAAATGAAAAAACGAAGGGAAAAACACTGGATGCACATGTCCAGTCGATCGGGCGGAAGTTGCCATTAGCCGTTAACCATTATCCATTAACCATTCACCATTCACCAGTTGGCTTCGATCCTCACGATCCTCATCGATCTGCGAAGACAAAACCAATTAAGACTGTCAAACAAATTTTAAGCGCCATCGGAATTATGATTATTAATGAGGGTTTATTGTTTATGGCTCAATTTTGGGCGAGTTTCAAAGATATGGGAAAAAATATCATCAACATTAGTCAGCCATTTGTTGAAGTGGTTACCTTTGGCAACTATTTTATTGATTTTTACCCTCTTTTAAATATTAATGTTTAATGTTTTAATCTTTCCTGCCCTTAAAGCTTGAATAATTTAATTTCCTGTTATACGTCTTATTGCTTATTTTGTGCGAGTCTAAACTTTCTTTATATTAGCAACAAAGTTAGGTTTATTTCTGCATTTATATACTGGGCTTTGATGTTCAGTTCCTCCGCCTTTCTTTTCCTTTATGATTTCCCCGTACAAGTGGCCGGAATATGTTTTACGAGCTCATCTGGCGGATCGTTTCGCACATTTCGCACAATCTGTAACTCGATTTGTGTATCTGTGAGGTAAACAAACTCGAACTCAAACGCAAACTCAATCCATGGGATGCACAAAAGATGCGACAGATATTTATGAATGAATGCGGCAACTTGTGTGCCTCCCCGATGCCCCGATTACCCGATTCGCATCTTAATTCGAAGGGGATGGCCATATGGATCATGGATAATGGATAATGGATAATGGAATGTCGTGTAACCCAAGAAGTTGCCTCACTTCTCTACGCTTCGTTTATCAGTTACATTACCATGCGTATCTCTCGGATACTTCCGCCTTGGCTCTTTTTACCTGGCGCTACTTGGGTTTTCCTCGAGGACTCGCCATCCTCATCCACATCCTCGCCCTCGTCTTCATCATTATTTTCATCGCAGCTCCCAGAGGAAGTTCCAATTTGCTACGTCAATGAACCATGGCCCTGATTTGCTCATCAAGTGCCTGTCCTCTCTTGTTCCCAGTTACCAGTTCCCTGGGCTCTCATCGTCCTAGTCCTTCGTCCTGGGCTTGTACATTTTACTTTTTTATTTTTCATACTCCACCCCAGGACCTTGCTCGCATTTCTTGATTCCATTCGTTGGTTGGGTGCTTTTTTGGGCCTGTGATTTCTGACACGGCGCTGACTGTCGGCTGTCAGCAAAAATCATCTTTGAATACGGACTAGCGAGGGGAGAACTGGAAGTTCTTACATGAAACTACTTGTCCGTTATGGAGAATATCCGTTCGTTCCGTCCGTTATGAAGAATATTACCCAAGTAATACGGAAATTTATGAGTAAAATTAAGTATATGATTGAAAATAAATTAATAATGTTAATGCTTAGCCAATCAGGCTTTAAGCTGTGCCTCTACCTTTAGTTTGTTTCTAAATTGTATATTCTTTTAAACCAACTCGAAACTTCTCGAACCCACCTCGTAACCTTATATCCTTGTTACATGTCTTGGGGACTCCAACTTTACTACTGCTCAAAAAGCTGCGCCAAATTGTCTGTTTACATTAAATGCATAAATTATGCAGCACTTCATTTACTTATTTATGTTTGCCCTGCGAACAATCGCTTTGATTCCGCCACTTCAACCAAAATGCCAAATGCATAAAATATGTCAGTCGGCCATGGGAATAAACATATATACATATATACCATACTGTACATACACAAACATATCATTGTTCAATTTCATTTTGTATGCATTTCACTGCTGATGATTATTTTTTCACGGATATTCATGGTTGTTGCCCGGTTTTTGCCCATTTTGATGCCCTAATGATGATGTCTCTCAGTTTTGGGTCATTTGCCGGCGGGTCGAAAAACCCTCCCTTTTCCGCCACTGTTTCCACTGTTTCTGGGTTTCAATTTAACCACCGGGTCTACAAATCTCGAAGACCAACCCCCTGAAACGATAGTAAAAGTTGACAGTTATGTGTTGATGACAATGTCGACAACGCCCAGCGGAAAAACCCTCCATCTATATTATATGTATCCCCTTCCCGCTGACTTTTCCTCTCATCCCATCTTGGGTGGCGTGTTTTCGACGCTACTTAGTCGTGTAATGACCAACTTAGTAGGCACTGGAGCCCAACAAATCAGTATTCGGCTGTCTAATGGTAAATTGCACAACCCAAAAATGGCAGCATCTTTGGTAAAAATTACAGAACCCAATCTTCAATATGAAGAATATATCCTATGGAAACCCTCCTGAAAATTTGTAATATTTTCAAAAAATTTTAATAGTTATCTTAAAGAGAAACTTACAAAATTTGTATTCGATTGGAAAAATATTAGAGCGGCATTCGAAACACAGAGATTATTTTATAGATTAAGGTTATTTTATTAAAAGTTGAGATCCCCAAAAATATCGAAATTAAAAAAATTATACAAATAGTAAGTAAATTCGATTTCTTAGTTTTCCAAAGATATAATAAAACTTTCTTCTTAATATTTATGTTAATAGGTAAAATAACGGTGTTCGTATTGCCCACCCACATGTTTTTAATTGTCAACTTTTTAGTTTGCCGGCATGATTAGCGATTCTTTTCTGGTGTCGCAAAAAATATCCAGCTAACAAATTTCCGTTTAGAATTTTCCTGTCTGTGTGTTCCGCCGTCTTCAAAGGGCTGCCGACCCAAAATATTTTCATTAGGCGTTAATTATGCCCGAGCCAAAATATTTCCGTGTAAACTGGGCAGGACATTTGTACCTCAGCATGATCGGCATTTTTGCATTGACCACGACACTAATGACTGCATTTCATATGCATCCTTTTCTTTTTTGCTAGTTTTTTGCCAATCATCAGGAGACTAAAGGGTGGATCAACCGAAAAATAGAAACCAGCATCCCAAAAGGAAGTTGCCCGCCAAACGTAATTTATAACCAGGCGATCCCGAGGTCCTGACAATGCAACTGCAAAGTTTCAAAGCAGACTTTAAACATTTTCGTTGTGTTTTTTCCATTTCTGGGGGGGGAAGAGCGAACAGAAGTTGGCACTGGAATTAAAACGAAAAATTGCAATCCACCCTGTCATTAGATGGCATCAATTGTTCGGTCCCGGCGCACAAGGGACTCTCCATATATATATGTCGAACGACTAAAGGACTCTTTTGTCCTGGAATCGAACGGGGCTCGTTGACAGGGGGATATAAATGTTGTGATTTCTTAATTTTTGTTTGCATTTTTCTCGAATTTAGTAGGCTGTTGAGGTAATTACTCTAATTATATGGCCCTGGTCCCAGTTTAGGGGTAGTTCCCCATTTCCGCACCCCTCACAAGAAGGTCATCGAGAGCCCTAGACCCCGTAAATCGAATTCGGTATCGGAACTCGAGAGCGGGATCACTTGAGAGAGATATTCCAATTTCAGGCGGGTGTCACTGTTGCGACACCATGGCTGTAAGAAGTACTTGACTAATTCGGGGGTTGTTTTAGAAGAAAGCCCCTTTTGAAAAACAGCTTAACTAAGTTTCTTCCCTATTATCAATTTAAATTCTTAATATATATGTATAACATTTATAACTCATTTGATCTTGCGACTTTCAGTTATATTGAATATCTAAATCAGGTTAGCCTTGTAATTTCGTATTTTTTTTATGCGAACTCAGAAGCCTCTGCTTTTAAATTCAACTTTACTACCTAGGGTTTTCTCGGCGAACTCTCATTGTGTTTTTAGTTGCCAGTCAAGTAAGATCAGAAATATCACAAAATTAAAGTCAGCTAGAAAATATCACAAAATTTATTTTTTTGTTAAAATTATTGAGAGTATTAAAAGTAAATAACGATGCAGCCACAAAAAGATATGTGCAAATGTTTGTTTAACATAACGCGTTCCGTGCAGCAAAGTGAGTTAGCCAAAACGTTTCGGTGTTCACACTATTACAAGACTTCCTATCGCATATTTGACGCATATTTTCCTACGGGTTGTATTTGATAAAATTCTTGACGGTATATTTTTGTGTATTTTTTATTTTTCACAGCTTGCGCCTATAGCACTAGACGTCATTTTCTGGCCATGCAGGCCCTGAACGCCCGAAAGATCCGGGAGTCGAATATACCCGAAATGGAGGCGGATGTTAAGGCCAGCAATGGGTGGCGTGGCATCCAAGCTGGCGACCGCCTCCCTACGGCCGTGAGTCTGGTCAGACGTAATCTCCCGGAATCGGTTAGGAACGAGGTGAACACTGCATTCCATCAGTATGGAAAATCGATGACCGATTTGGCCAAAAGTGCCCGCAAGATGTACAAGACTGCGCGATTGAAGAACATTGCTCCACAGCCATCCGTGATGGAGAAAGTCAGTAAGTTCCATTCCTTTAAATTTCGCATAAACACATTTCGAAGAATATCACATTTAACTTTTATATATTTTTTTCTAATTCTATGAACTTGTTCCCCTTTTATAGATATCCTAGGCTTGGGTCCTGTAAAACCTCAAGAACAAAGCACTTGTGCTATAACCGAGCGCCTTACCAAGTTGTTCTTCCAGGACCCCTGGGATTTTCCGAAGGGTGGAGACTCAAACAAATGAGGCATATCGTTGAGGCATCAAAATCGTATAAAATGGATCTCATTCAAGTGGTAGCTCTTAGACATTTAAAGAAACGCAAATGTTTGTAACTTTGTAACGTTTTTTAAATACAATGTCTAGTTACCATCAACTGTTGCGTTTTTGAATATATTTCACGTTTTTTTCCTCAAAAGGGTGTAGATAATAAGTCTGAAACATTTTTACCCCAAACAGATCCAAGTCAAATACATCTCCGAAAAAGTAAAATTCTGACAAGTTGTCTTGTCCCATACAGATACCAACTCCCGATTATTCCCATCTGGAAAAATGTGCGTACGCACCAAAACCGTACCCAAAATTAATAGGGTTTTGGGCAGACCATAATAAAATACGTCGTTTCTGGTTTTGTCAAAATACATTTATTTTTACTACTTATATCAAGTATTAAAATACAATAAATTTTTCCATCTATCCTAAAGGGTTTACTTATAACGAGAATCCTGTAATATGATGCGTGGTACAAGTTGTCAAGTCGAAAACTCCGCTACCGATCAGGATCTATATGGGTTTCAGACCACTCCTGTTAAGTAATACGGTTTTATGCGGATATATTTGAAGAGCTTCCTGGGAAGGGGAGTAAAGTTGAGGTGATATATGGGACTAATTATGGTGTGCTCCTTTTTCGCGTCGCCTAGTGATGTCTTATTCTGCCGAGAGCTGAGAGGTCGCAAAGTTTCAAGCAGGCTGATTCCCTGGAGTATTCCTCCCGGGTTCGTGTCTTGTCCATCTCCTCGGCGCGGGATTTGTGCAGCTCCACCACGGACTTGGCCAGTTCTTGGAGGCTGATCTTGGCCTGACTCGACGGTGGCGATTTGCTGCCGAATGCCGAATTTGGAATTTCTGGACGGGCCGGGATCTCAGACTGCGATTCAGTCTGGAATTAAGATTAGAATTAAATCAGTGTATAAGCATCACATATCGGAAATCAAACAGTTGCATTAGGAATTGGGATTCTAATAACGGCTTCTGGTTTTAACAAAATTATTATTATATTATATGGTTATATGTATATGGTATGGTATCTTTGCACTCACCTGGTAATTTGTAGTGGTCATCCTGGGAGGTCTTTGCATGTACCGGTGCTGCAGTATTTTTCCAGTTGCTGCCAAAACGGTGGCCGACATCCAGGAGCCTGGCTTGGTGTTCTCCTGGTTCCTGACAGGTGAGTACTCCCTGGGAATGGCCTGTTGCCTGGCCGGCTCGCGCTCGCCCAGCACCTCCTTCTTGGGGATCAAGCGATCCAGCTCATCCTGGTTCCGCTCCTCCAGCTTTTGCTGCTCCTCCATGAGACTGCGCATCCTGTTCTGGATCTTGCGGCGCTCTTCGATTTGGCGCACCTTGTCCAGAGCACTGATCACATCCTCCGAATCGGAGTTCAAGTCGGAATTGGCAGGTTGATAGCCACGTAGGCTGTTCTGCTTGACAGATCATATGAAATTGTATGTTGTATATTAAGGACTATAAATTCAACTTACCTGCTCCCTGGCAGCTATTCTAGTCTGCTGCCACATTTCCTGCAGACGATTGGTGTCAATTTTAAACGTGGAGTAGGTCTTCTCGTCCTGCTCATCGATGACTCTATCAGCCGGAAATCTCTGGAGTGTTGGCCAGTTGAAGAAATTGCTTTTGGGATTTAGAGGGGGGCGCCTCACGAACTTCGGCTTCTTCCGGGAATTCCCCGAGAAGTTGCGGAATAGTAAGCCACACGACTCTGCGAAAGGTCGGTTTGCTAGAAAAATACAGAAAAAGAGGAAAATTCAGAAATTGTTCAAAATAATCTAAAATTTGCAAAAAGATCGGAAGATTCAATGGTGCAGACACCGATGTTTTAACCACTCTATTCTAAAGAACCAAATGTAACGGATGCACCGCGCACAAGGAACTTATGCTACTCACTTAATGCTTTGAATCCTCTACGAAACATTTTTATATTTATGTAAAAAACAGATTGAGAAATTTAGTTGTAAGAAATATCCGAATACTGCTAGACTGAAAAAAAACTGAACTTTCCGATTACATTAGTAGACGAATACAAAGTCAACGGCAACTCTGTTTCCACATTTGATCAATGAGAAAACAAAGGCTACTGGGCCTACAAATTTTTCGCAGGTTTTAAACTATGATTGCTCAGCATTTTAAACTGAGTTTTTCGAACCTCCAGTAATAGTTTTATAATCTGCCCTCCCTTTTCCATCCAACACCTCATTAGCAGCCATTTTCGCTGAGGATCCTACGGTTACATCATCTAGACCTTGGTCATAAATCCCAGGATCATAAAAAGATATTCGCGTTTTTTCTCCCATTTTTTTCGCTGTAAGTCGGCGGAAGAAAAAACTGAGCTACAGAACTAAAAAACTGAACTCAAGAGTCACCGTAACCAAGGCAAGTTTCGTTATTTTTTTGTTCGCTCGTGGCGATTTTTTTATTATTTGATTTACAGTCTCGGTTCGCCGATTGCGTTTTGCGTAATGTTGTCTAGAGTTTTTCAATTTTTCACCGGAATTCAGTTCTCCTCGCCTTTTTATGACGCGTGGATATATCCTTTTTGTGCCTCGCTTTTTTGTGTGTTCATTTTTTCCTCCAGTTGCGTGCAGTTCCAGTTTTTTAGGCTGACACGCGAGGATCCTCGTTCGCAGAAGGATCCTGGCCTGGATTTTTATGGCTTACGCAATCCGAGATGCCGATCCCGAAGATCCTTAGCCGTAAATCCAGGCAGAAGGCCCACACAGCACAACAGCTGCCCGAAGAAGTGTGCGCAAAAAATGAAGACCGGGCCTGTAAGTAGCGGAACCAAATTCGCCAACAAAAATAATATCAAATATCAATTGTATAAATAGTAATGTTTGTTGATTCAATAGCGAGCCATCTGTATGAAAATATGCCCCAAACTGTTAGACAACAAATATCTATTTGTTTAACGTAGCTGCTTATATTGTATGGCTTAAACAATATATGAAATGTTTTAGAGCAGATACTAAAACCATTGTTTTGAACACGTTTTAAATACATTTTTAATCATATGAAGAGCAAACAAAATAAAAAGATAATATTAGAAGAAATAAGCATTGGGGAATATATATATATATATATCAGAATCATCTCATATTGCGATAATATTTTTTTATAGCCAGGAAAATCGATATAAAAGACCTAACAAAAAATGGCATCTATTTCTGCAAGTGACCTTTACAAACAATTCTACAAAAAATTTATATACGTATGTACCTATATACTTACTAATAATACCAAAATGGGCATTTGTGTACTAGGAATATATATTATTTTATTCAAATAATACTTTTTACATTTGCAAGGAAATCAAAGTGTAAGTCCTAACGAAAAGAACATCTATTTCTGCCAGTGACCTTAGCGAACCTTCCTTTAAAAAATCCATATACTTCCTATATATTTCGATGCCAGGTTCCCCGTCGATCTAGCAAAACAATGCGGGGTCCTCGAGTTCCTTTCTGTTTTCCTGGGCTTCCGGGGTGGCTTCCTTGGATTCCGATTCGCAGCTCTGCTCATCCATTGACTTTTTGTGTCAAATTGAGTTATTCACATTGCACATGGGCAGATTTCGATAATGCCTCGGTGAATTGATATCCTGTTGCGTTGTTTGCACAAAAATATTTACCCAACTCATAATTGAAGTGTCTGCAATTTTTGCGCCATTTGTGCATGTCCTGGTGATGCCGATTCTCGTTCCCATTCCGATCCCGATGCTTTGGGCATTTGTGAATTTTTGTCATTTCGGGCACCCCACGTGGCAGTTGGCTGCCTGATTATGTTGTCGAGTGTCCTGCCGAAATCCTGGGGAAATCTTGTTTAGTCACCGAGCAAATTCCTGCTGCCCTAATTGTTGTCATTAGGTGAGGTGTGTTTTGTGTTTTCCGCACTCTGTATTCTGTACTCTGTTTTCTGCATGTGTGTGGCCATTGGAGAAGAACACGAGAATATCTGGCATTCATTCTTGGCCAGAACTGGTCAGCACACTCAAAGGACCTTAGGTGGCAAGGCCACCTGCATTGGCTTTGTCCTCGATCCTGGCCATTAGTTAATGGCCCAAACGGGCACAAAGAGTTTGGCCAATTTGGGTGGCATCTGCCGATGAAGATGTCTCTTTTTCATGAATGGCAACCGCCGTCCCGGAGAGTGCTCCTTTAAAGGTCAAGAAGCACTCGAAAGTGCACTCGAAAACTCAGTTGAGTCAGGGGGTATCTGGGAAAAACGTAAAACAAAACCTGAAAAACCAAAAATAATTAAAAGTATTTGTTTTTGATTTTTAAGTTATTTAAAAAATATAGATTTTAGAGGAAAATCAGAATCAATATTAGTACAACTTAGTACACCTATTTGATTGATATCTTAATTTCCCTATTTTTTCTGCAATCCTTTCTCCCATCAGGGCATGGATTTAAGGGAGTCTTATACATATATCCAGCATATCCCTGACTGATTCCCATACGGATGTCGCTCCGGTTATCTTGTGCGATTTTTCCACGACTTAGTCTTGGCATATCTGAAAATCAAACAGATAAATTGCCGGCATTTTCCGCTCACGTGTGTGTACGCCTCACATGTAACCCCTTTGCAACCCCTTTCTTTTCTCTGGGGTGGTGCTCCGGTTTTCTGCGCTTTTTTCCAGCCATGAAAATAAATTGGCATTATTAGGCGAAGCGGCTCAGCGAAAATTGATTATTGACAAGAGTCGCATTAAGCGCCGTTTTATGAGCCAAAAGGAAAAAATGCACAAGCCAGGCATTAAGGTTCGTAATGCGGTTCGAGCTGTCCTTGAAAGATCCCACGACACCCCCTAAAAAAGCGGGAAAGGGATTGTGAAACTTTGTCTGGGGCTTTTATACCCTAGCCGGTGATACATTGTGATTTTCTGAGGGAGTCGCAAAGGGTAACGAGTAGTGTTTAATATAACGCCTTATTTAGGTTCAAATTGTTTATAGCTTCTTACACAAATTTAGTCAAATCGAGGCGCATAACAAAAAGACCGACTGTTTTAAGCAGCTAACAACCAAGGCTATCGATCCCTATCACTTTTCGGAATATTTATTTTTTGACGAATTTTCGCATTTTTTGTAAGGGGTCTAAAATTTTTCAAAAATTAAAGTTTAAAGATTTTAATGCCAATCGATTGGGAATTTGATAACGAGCTTAATGAGGTATCACATTCCTTAATCTGACTTCATTTCGCAATTTGCCGACCAAAATACTGATTTTTTATGTGCAAAATAAGGGAACCTTATTTTTTGACGAAAACTGCGTTATTTTTAGGCCGTTTTATGTCGTAAATTAGTCAAATCGGGGCGCACAACAAAAAGACCGACTGTTATGGGCAGCTTACAACAAAGGCTATCGATCCATATCACAAATCGGGAAATTTATTTTTTGACCCATTTTCGCATTTTTTGTAAGGAGTTGTATCATCTATTTTCTTCGAAAATTTTTCAAAAATTAATGTTTGATGATTTAAGTACCAATCGATTGGGAATTAAATTACGATCTCAACGAGGTATCACATTCCATATTCTGACCTCATTTCGCAAAATGACGACCAAAATACTGATTTTTTTATTGCAAAAATGGGGTACCTTATTTTTTGACGAAAAATGCGTTATTTTTAGGCCGTTTTTATGTCGTAATTTAGTCAAATCGGGGCGCACAACAAAAAGACCGACTGTTATGAGCAGCTAACAACCAAGGCTATCGATCCATATCACAAATCGGGAAATTTATTTTTTGACCCATTTTCGCATTTTTTGTATCATCTATTTTTTTCGAAAATTTTTCAAAAATTAAAGTTTGAAGACTTAAATGCCAATTGATTGGGAATTTAATTACGAGCTTAACGAGGTATCACATTCCTTAATCTGACTTCATTTCGCAATTTGTCGACCAAAATACTGATTTTTTTTGTGCAAAAATTGGAAACCTTATTTTTAGACGAAAAATTCGAAATTTTTAGGCAGTTTTTATGTTGTCATTTATTCAAATCGGGGCGCACAACAAAAAGACCGGCTGTTATGAGCAGCTATCAACCAAGGCTATCGATCTATATCACAAATCGGGAAATTTATTCTTTGACCCATTTTCGCATTTTTTGTAAGGGGTTGTATCATCTATTTTTTTTCGAAAATTTTTCAAAAATTAAAGTTTGAAGATTTAAATGCCAATCGATTGGGAATTTAAATACGAGCTCAACGAGGTATCACATTCCTGAATCTGACTTCAATTCGCAATTTGACGACCAAAATACTGATTTTATTTGCGCGAAAATTGGGGACTATCACTTCGAACAAACATTTCTGTTTTTATCAGTTCTTCAGTCGAAATTTGGACACTTGAAATATATTTAAAGATATTAGAAGGGGTATTTCCATGTTCGACTCTTTCATTTAATTCATTTAACCCTTTCGTTTTACCCATCGCCCCTGCATTAATTATGAGAATCTGTCGCCTGCTCGAGAAAAGGGGGTGTGAAAAACTTCTTAAAGTTCGCCGCTTGAATAATTGAACAGGTCGCACACTTAAGGGCCCCCGCATAATTAATTTCAATTACGTTTTTAAGGGCCCAAAGGAGAGCTTCTCTCCTTTCGTTGGCTCGATTTTCCCGATTTTCCCTAGGTTTCACGATTTTCCCGTGGCCCTGGCATAGCTACCTGCCTCTAATTTTGTTTTAATCCTTTCGCTAGCAGTACGCCACTAATCCGGCCGAATTTTACGGGTGCCGGCGGCCGAGGGACAATGGCATCATCTATAAAGATGACAATTGCAAACAACAATGACGACAATCGCGGCAAGGACAAACAGTAGTGCCATACCACTTTTCTCCTTTTTCCGATTTTCCACCGGCAGATTTCCCTTTTCGGCCGGCCTCACTCCTTTTGCCACTATTCATAATTAGTTGCAGGCAATTAAGGCAGCCCCCGCGGTCGCGAGCAAGGACACTCTCGTCCTCGCCCACCAGAAAATTGAAATGGAAATCGAAGTCCCAGGGAAAGGATATATGTGCA